CCAACAAACCTTATCAAATTTTTACGCATAAAAGGAAGAGAGCCAGACAAAAACGTGTTGTCTTGTCGTCTTTGCCCTATTCTTGTTAACACAAGAATGTGCAAAGAGGGGCAGCTGTAGACACCCGTTTTTGTCTGGGTCTTTTTTTCTTTATTTTTAATTATTATTATTATTATTATTATTATTATTATTATTAATATAACATTTATATTTTTGCAGGCTTAATGGGCAGCCCAGATTACAGACAAGCCCAATACACCCAAGGCCCACTCATGTGACCCATTAACCCAGAAGCCCAATACATTAGGGTTTCTAAACCCTAGCTCAGTCCCGCCTTCTAGCTCCCACCAACGCTCCAACTGTCGCCGAGCCACCAAGCCTCTGCCAAGCCTCCTGACACCATCGCCGTCGACAATATCTACACCAAACAGTGAGCATTGTACATCCATCAATCCATCAACAATAGAAAATTCAGAAAATCCAAAAGAAATCTTATCCTAATTCTAGGATATTATGAACCTATATGAAAAGCAATCAAATCTATCATCCAGCCATCACCAATCACAGAGACAAGATAAAAGGAAAAAAAGAAAAGATAGAGAGGGCATTCGAGTTCAGGGGGAGGAACGAAAAAACCAGAAAAAAAGGAAAAATAGAACTACTCGAACCAAACAAGAAAATACAAAACCAAGGAGAAAAATAAAGAGAGGGGGTTCTTACCTTGGTTCGAGGCCGTGGAATCCGTAAGGTCGCTGGAGCTGCCATTTCCTGAGAGGTAAACCCTTTAGATTTGTGGCTTTAGGGGATGTTTTAGGCTAAGAGGAGTCGAGTTTCGAGACGAGAGTAAGGAGAGAATGCTTTTGAGGTGATTTCCTCTCTCCGACCACCGTCGACCACTGTGAACTCCGCCGTGAGTTCCGTCGGTGGTCGTTGCTTATTCTCTTTGTAGAGGAGAGAGTTGAGAGAACTTTATTTTTCTATCTCTTCTCTCTCGGTTGAAAACCAGAGAAATGAAAATGGATGGCCTTTTTAGGCCTTGAAAATCATATATGTGAAACTCTAAACGGTGTCGTTTTGGCACCAACAGAAACGACACCGTTTCGCCTCCCCACTTTCTGTGTTTTATGTTTAGGGGTAAATGTCCCTTTTAGTCCCTATGATCTTGTAATATTATTATTAAATCATTAAATAAAGTCTCATTTTCTTTGATTTCGAGTACTTACATTTCAGAATTTATATTTAAGTCACTAGTTTGTTTATTTTACCATGTTTGTTTATATTTGACGTTGGTCATATTATTTGTGATTACCTCATTCTAGTCACTGGTTTATCATATTTTGTTAATATTTGAATTTAGCCATGGTATTTGTAAATTTATTATTTTAGTCACTATCCATGTTTTATATCATTTTTGTCTATATTTGATTTTTGTCTTCAATATTTTCAAATATTTCAATTCGATCACTGATTCCATGTATTTTATAATCTTTGCGCTATTCGAATTTGGCCACCATATTTGTAATAATTTTATTTTAGTCACTTATCTTACATAGTTCTGCGATTGCTTGAATATGGTCATGATACTTTTAATTATTCCATTTTAGTCTCTGTTTTAGTGTATTGTTCATTTTCATTGACATCCTAATTTAGCCATGACATTTGCAAAGTCTTTATTTTAGTCACTACTGGATATTTGGTTTAATTATTGTTTAGTCCTCTGTGTATATGGTTATTTTATTTTAGTCCTAAATGTTAATTATGGTTTTATTTCATTTACAGTTCATGTATTATTAAACATTTGTGATCTGGGTTCTATTTTATTTGTAATTATTATTTTGGTCCCTTTGGTTTCTATTTTTATTATTTTAATCCTTTATGTTTAAATTTGTGTTATTTTTGTCCTTCAAATTTTTGTTAATTTTATTTTAGTCTTGTAAATATTTGTATTTTAATGATTTCATTTTGGTTTGTAATGTTTACTTATTTTTATGCTAGTCATTTATGTATGAATATATTTTATTTATTTTATGCTTATGTGTATTATGTAAATAATGTTTTCAATTTCATTTAATGTAATCATGTTATTTTTGTATTTTTAGTAACATTTATTTCCATTGTATTTTACCCATGGTTGAAATATTCGAATCGTTTCAAGGACACGTATTCGTAAAATGAGCGTGGAAAGTATCACTTGGTCGAAGTGGTGCGATCCGGTACGGCATTTTAATGATATAGTAATTTGAAACAAATCAAGTGTATGTTACTAATTAATTTATTTTAATGATGCCCTGTGTTTTTTTATTATGCGAATGCAAATTCTCGATATTCATTTATATTCAATTTGTATATTTTAATCAACGAGGACTAGATATTCTTTAACAATAGAAAATAGTTAAAATAACTTTCCCAACGGAGGATTGTTAATTTCAAGATTTTTTATAAAGTTAAAGAATTTTCTTTAATTACAAATTTTGAAGTAAATTAATTATATTTCAATAAATGGATCGTAATTTAACTTTATATTCGATTAATAATTTTCATCATTACGACAACGTGTAAGCGACACAGTACCAATTTTGGGCGTTATGGGGGTGTTTACCATTCCCCACACGTAACCGATTCTCGAATCTATTTAAATAAATATTTGGTAACGCAGACCGAATTTTGTCTTAAAAATGATTTTTCTTAAAATTGTTTTAAAAGACCTTTTTAGGTATTCGACCTACCTAACCCAAAGGTCGATGACGATTCTTTTTAATTTAATTTCAAATCCCCAATTTTTCCAAATAGAGGTCATAATCGTTTTTTAAAATAATATTTAATTGTTTTACCTAAAAAATGGTTATGACAATAGTTATATAATTATATTTATTATTTAACATGTTTTACCTTAAATATTATGTTGTAGTTGATTTGAATCATTTTGTTTCACTTGATTTTATTGTTTTTAACTTATATATATTATAACTTGCTTTGAATATGACTTGTGATATAAAAACTGTTTTTTATTAATTTTTTTTTATATTTTTATTAAATTTTTTAAATAATTAATTAATTATGACGTCGTCCGGTTCTTCCAACCGGTTCGACCGGTTGAACCGGTGAACCGGTAGCACGACCGGTTCGCTGATCGGTCCAGTTCTGAAAATCATGCCAAAAATATACACTCCACCTGAAATTCAATCAAATTCGAGTTTAGGGGCGATTTTACCCAATTCGAATTTGATCTTGTTCTGATGCGACCTAAAATAAATATTTTTAAAATATATTATTTTTATTTAATAAAAAATAAAGATCTAATTTAAAAATAATATATAGATGATTATTATTGTAATTGTCCTTAAATATATAAGATAAATTTATATTATTTTTCAAATCAAATCAAATCAAATCATTTATTTTATACTCTAAATCCAAACTCAAACCAAATATATTCTTTAAAAAACTCAACCCGATCTAATTCTATCTTTTAAGAAAAAATATAATCCGATCAAATTAGATAAATCAAAATCTATTAAATTTGAATCTCGTGTCTATCCCTACCTTGAACATCACTTGAGCTTAACTCTGGTTTAGAAATCTCAGTCCCGTGAATATGGTGTAGGCCGGTCTAAAATAAAAAACATTATTCTAAAGAATTTAACGTCTTTTCTAATTTTCTTTCTCGTGACAATGTAATTGCCCGAAGGGTGAACTACCAAAATGGTTAATTTCATTGATAAAGTATAAAAATGGTCCCCAAACTGCATAGAGTTATTTTACTGAGTACTTTTATTATTAAAAGTTATAAAATGATCCTTTAATTATAAGATATTACTTTGTTAATTCCATCAACTATTAAAAGTTACAGAATAATCATTGAATTATAAGAAATTAACGGCAATATGAGCTAGGCCTTAATGTCCAGCTTATATTGTTGTCAAATTTTAATCGAAAATGATGAATTTGAAATATATAAATAGTTGAGTGATCATTTTGTAATTTTTTATAATCGAGAGATCAAACAAAATAATTTTCTATAATCATATAAATCTTTTTATAACTTTTATAATTAATGGACTGACAAAACAATACTTTATAATAAAGAGACCATTTATAAACTTTACCTTAATTTCATTTCACAAGTGATCATTTTTTAATCACTATTTTTTTTATATCTAATTATTTATATTACCAATTTATAATACTTTAATTATTAAGAGTTAAATATTGTTAGTTTAATAATTTCACAATTAATAACGGTAAAGTATAAATTTAGTAACTGAATTTTATTCTCTTCTCTATTCTACTTATTATATTTTAAATCCTTTCAATTTTCTCACTAAATTTAATACATTATATTTTTTTTGTTATTCAGCCATTTTCTCACTAACGGCGTCATGACGCGTTTTTTCTATTTTATTTTTTAATGACTAAATTATAAGTTTAATCATTAAACTTTATTCTTTCTTCTATTTCAATCACTATACTTATAATTATTTTAAATCTAATCAATAAACTTTACACATTAGATTTTTTTAGTCACTCCTCTTATAACAACAAAAAAACACGTCATAACATCCCTACTGATGAAACGAATGAGTGACCAAAACACTCAATATACTAAATTCAGTAAAGAAATTAAAAAGATTTAAATTACAATTAGTGAAATAAAAAAGAGTAAAATTTAATTATAAAATTTATAATTTACCTATTAATAATTGAATTAATTTTTAATTTAATTAATAATTTTGGAATAAAATATTAATTTAACGTTTAAATTTTAGATAAAATAATAAAAGAAATATTAAAATCTAAATAGAATATTAATTTAATCAAATTCCAACGACTATATTTTGGTAAAAACAATACAAAATTTGAAAGTGGACCCTACTTGGAGACAACAAGCATTGATTGTCGGTCGCTGTGCCACCAGTTTCCTTTTTCGAATAAATAAATACACAAAATATTAAATAAAAAAATAAAAAAAATAAAACGCTCTCCTCAAAATCAACCAATCAATCATTCCATTTCATAACCAAGGCGAAAGAAAACAAGGGGAGAGAAAGAGTGAAGAGATCGCCTTCCTCAGTCTTTTGTGTATTAAGCCCTAAGGTAACCTTTCTCAATCTCTTCAACTTGTTCGGTGTCGGGTTCTTTATGTTTTCTTTTTTTTTTTGTATTTTTTTAAATTTTTTTGGGGGTTTAATTTAGTTTCTTTTGATCGGAAAAAGAAAAAGTAGATTGGTCGATTCTTTCTCTCTTTCGATGATAATGCTTTCCTGCTGAAATGGGTATGTTACAGATTCTTTTCTTGGTTGATCTGTTGTATGGGTTTTCCTTTTTTTCTCGGTTTTTAATACGCACTGAGTTGTTGGGAAACGTGTTAGGCTTTGACTTGGTGTTTGATTTAGGTTTGTTTTCTGGAGATATATTCGTTGGATTGAAATCCCTTTTTGAGGGTTTTGATAGTATGTTCATAGTTCTTTTTGGGTAAATTTTGCATTTAGTACTTAAACAAATTATCAGTTTTGGTTTAAGTTCGTTTTAATACCTAAACTTTTTTTTTGTATGTTCATAGTTCTTTTTGGGTAAATTATGCATTTAGTATCTAAGCTATCAGATTAGGTCTACTTTAGTAGTTAAACTTTCGTTTTTTTCAAAACCTAGCTTCAAATTTTGAACTGGTACTAAGAAACAAAAGCTAAAGTTTTTGATGAGATATTAAAATTAAATAAAAACTAAACTTTAGGTATGGTTTTGAATTTTTTTTGAAAGTTTAGGTAATAAAATAGACCGAAACTTATAATTTATGTATTAGACGTGTAATTTGCCCTTGTTTTTTTAGATGCTGATTATAGGGATATAATGTATGAGCCACTGCATGCTTCAAACAGATTTTTCATTTGCTTGATGCTAAGTTTGACTTAATTCGTTTTTTAGAAAGAGAATGCATAAGCAGTTGGTAGTATAGATGTAATTTGTGAGTGAAATATTATCTTTGCTCTGACTACTTTGTGCTGCAGATTTAAGAAACCATTTGATGCTAGTTGAGCTTGCTTGACTGCAAATGAGAAATGGAATTTCACTTGTTTTTGTTTCATTTGGAGTATAAAATATGAGCTATGTTCATCTTCTGACACTTTTTATGGCTTGTTTTGTGATTGCAGAATTCTTGCCTTTCTCACTGTAAGTAAGTGCAAAAGTTGTTGAGCTTTTGTGACGAGTCTTACCGAGGTTCTGAGCCTTTTCTTCTAACATTCTTGTTCTTCCCTTGGCATGGTAAGTTTCTGCCATTTGCATAACACCATTTGTTCTTCCTGTCTAGCTCAGTTGGTAGAGCGCAAGGCTCTTAACCTTGTGGTCGTGGGATCGAGTCCCACTGAGGGCAATTTATAACGGAGGTCTTCCACGGAAGCTGCTCTCAACCTGGCGTTGGGGGCAGCCTACTATCCTACCTCCCCCTTACCCCATTACATATGGGAATAGGGTCAGCTAATTTTTTTGTTCGATTGTGAGTTGCGTGTTATTCCTTTGCCCTAGTTAGCTAAGAAAGATTTAGGGATATAGTTTCATATTAGACACACTTGTATATGGTGTGGCATTTTCATGAACTTGTATTTTGAAATCTTTATTTTATCGTGTAGCTGTATAGGAATTATATTGTTTGTTTGTGTTTTGTTAGGCGACCAATGAAAATCTTCCACCAAATGTTATAAAGCAACTGGCGAAGGAATTGAAGAGTCTTGATGAATCGCCTCCGGAAGGCATTAAAGTTAGTGTAAATGATGACGACTTTTCGATCATTTATGCTGACATTGAAGGGCCAGGCATGTAGTTTTGTCCACACAAATTTACTTCCTTTGCGGCATGCTTGTTTCTTTTCAGTTACTGAGTATTTTTTTGGCCTTGCAGCTGGGACTCCGTATGAAAATGGTGTTTTCCGTATGAAGTTGTTACTGTCTCACGACTTCCCTCATTCTCCTCCAAAAGGTATGTTTAATAGGTTATCGTGGTAAACAACGCATAATTAGATTCAACACTGCTACAAGCTACAAAAAAAAATTATAAAACCTGAGTCATGTTAGGCTTCTGAAGTATGATTCTGTTTGTGGTGCAACTATAAGTAGAAAAATGTTTTATTTTGTGCACCTAGTGAATATTCTGAAGTCCTTTGGTCCCGCAGGCTACTTCCTGACAAAGATTTTCCATCCTAATATTGCGACCAATGGTGAAATTTGCGTAAACACGCTAAAAAAGGATTGGAACCCAAGTCTTGGATTACGGCACGTGCTCATTGTAAGTTCCACTGCACCCGGACTTCATTCGGTATCTGTTTTTCTATCAGTTTGTTTGATCAAACCAGGGACTGCAAATTTCTTTCGTTAATCCAGCTTTAGATATTTAGCTTCACGATTTCTTTATCTTCCTCGGCACTGCCTAATGCCACTGCAGGTAGTTAGGTGTTTATTGATTGAACCATTTCCAGAATCAGCTCTAAATGAACAGGCTGGCAAGATGCTGCTTGAAAACTATGACGAGTATGCCCGACATGCCAGGTGAGGCTTGCCTAACACATCATTCGTTAGTTCTTTAATATTTTGCGATGCGGAAACATAGAACCTTCAGCTGGAAGGGAATAAACTCTTCCAGCTGAAATGGCTTCGCATTTGGTAATATTACTTTTGTTGTTCGAATTCTACAAATGATCGATCAAGCTTTCAATTATTGTATTCTATTACACCTTATATGATATTATAGTATACTCTTGAAGGAATTCAATCGGCATGCGGTTCTCACAATCTTCTGTCCTTAACACAGGCTTTATACCGGAATCCATGCGAAGCCGAAACCCAAGTTCAAATCAGGAGCTATTTGTGAGTCAACTACGGCACTGAACGTGGAGCAGCGTAACACCTCGGTTCTGAATTTTGAGCAGAAAAATGCAGCAAGCAGTGCCGGGTTATCATTACCAACCCCACTCGCTCCATCAACCGCATCAACAAAAGGAGGCAACAATCCGGACCACCAGCATCAACAGTCCACAGGTCTTGCAAGTGAAACCGGGGTTAGTGGAACCGGCATTGTAGGAATATCGGGCACCACCGCGCCTAAGAAGGAAGGTTTGCCAAAAATTCTTGCGGACAAGAAGAAAATGGATGCTAGAAAGAAAAGTCTCAAGAGATTGTAAAGTCATGGTGTCTTAAGTAATAAAACAACGTAAGGCGTTCGGAAACTGGTTGTTTGTAATGGGTGCTTTAATTTGGGAAGGTGATGAATGCTTTAATTTGCTTTAGGAACCTTTTTTACAAGGTTTAATTATATGATATGTTTTCGTCTATCTTTGTAACACACATTTCTTTGTCTTTTGGTACATTTTCGTTCGTCTGACTTTTTTTTATTTAATTTTCTCAAAATTGAATTTGACGATACATCGACTGATCAAGATGATATTTATTTATTGTCATATTGATCTTCATTGTTTTGGACCGTTACATTGGTTTGTATATGTGATTTGCATTCAAAGATGTTTTTCTCTCGACGTCAACTATGGTTCGTGATTGTTTATAGTTTTTCAATAATTTAATCTATTGTTGTGGTTCATTTGTTAATATAGTCAAATTTGTTTGTATTGATCTTTTGTTCGCGTTTTTTGGATTGACTTTTAACATTTTCCTCGTATAATTTTATATGATTTCAAGTGACTTGTTTATTGTGTCAATGATTATAGAGATATATCCTAATTATATATTTAGTTTACATTTAAGATTATAAATTTCCGTTGTAATTTTAATATTTTCCCAATAAATTTAGCTAGGGGTGTTCAATCGATCGATTCGTTTAAAAGATCGAATCAAACTTTCAAAATTTCATTAACCGAATTTTTTCTTTAACCGTTAATAGAACTGTAATTTTTTCGAAAATAATTAATTGAATTGAACAAAATTTGATAATCGGTTGGTTAATCAAATTAAACTAAATTTATAAATAATATATATTATATTTTTTAATATTTTGTATTTTCTATAATTCGGTTAAAGTCGAGGTTTAAACACTATAATATATAATATATTAAATTTGTAATAATTTCGGTTAATTTGATTAACTTATCAATTTCGAATCGAATTAACTGATAACCAACCAAAGTTTAATAAATCTTTAATCGTTAATTGATCGAACCTAAAATTAAGTTAATTAATCGGACCTAAAATTAAACAACCAATTAATAAAAAAAAGCCTTCGATTCAATCGATTTTAACCGAACTTTGAACACCCGTAAATTTAACTGCTTCAAAATCGCATTAATTTTTTTAATAAAAAATAAATTATCTGCAAATATCTTAATAATTTACTTACACTTTCCATTTGTTTTTCTCATCTCCTCCCTCAAATGCGAATTGAATTAACCATTCACTCATTATCAGTGGTCTCACTTACATCTCTTGTTTGCTTCATGCCGCCGCAATTCATCTTCATCTTCAGCCGTTACTCTCTCTTAGGGTTTGGTTTCTCTCAGATTTCTCAATCTTCAATTTGATTGCTGATTCCATTATTCCTGTTGATATTTTAACGATTAGAAAGCAAGAAGAAGGAGGAGAAGAAAAGAAGCGGCAGGTGAAATGGAATCGGAGGATGAGTTCGATATGCACGACGCCAACAACGAATCGGGCGAAGAAGACGATTTCTACAGCGGCGGCGATGACGACGACGATGATGCTGAACCCGTCGGTGCTTATGAGAATTCCGATGCGGATGTTGCCGATTACGATTTCATCGACAACGATTCGGATGATTCCGACTATCTTGTCTATCACCGACACCAAGTATTTCTTTTTCTGTTCGATTTTTTGCTTTGTTTTCGCTGGTTTTTCAATTTTCTTTTTGGAATTTTAAAGCTCTAGCTACCTGGCTTTTGTTAGTGTTAGAGTATTTTGGCATCATTTGATGATTTGGTCTGGTTTTGATTAGGATGTTTGTCGAATCTATACTATTTAGTTTGGTATGAAGTAGGAAGAGCTAAGTGACCAGCTCAAATGTTGAACGTGGAAGTGCAAAAGAACCAGTAAGATCATAAAATTTGAAAGGGAAAAACAAAGGATAATTATATGTTTCAACTTTCTATATATATTTTTAAAAAGCCTTATTTCTAAAAATAGTTACTTATTTTTCCGTTTACATAAATTGCCAATTATATTCATGTCATTTATCAACCTTAACAAGAAACTAGTAAACTGTCCACTTTTTTCTTTACAGATGCCAACTCTAGGGTATAATTACTCCGTTCTAATTCAAATCAATTTTTTTGGGTGTATCATGTATGATTTTGCGTATTACCCTTAACTACAAGAATAGGGTTGACATAGATTGTATATGTTAGACAAATTGTAGTTTATTTTTGTTGAGGCAGTGCTTGCAAAGCTTTGGCTATCAGGAATGTGTTTGATTTTAATTCCCCTTGTTTTTTAATTTTTTTGACAATATACAAAAAGAGTTTGAATTTCATTGGTGGATTTGGTTTAATGCAAGTGGTGTAATTGAATCCTAATAACTAGAAAGGAGACCTCAACTGTGAAAGGAATTTACCTATTCTTTGCTTCTAAGATCGAAGCTTTTACTTAAAATGAACTATTAGATTATATCAATACTAAGATTACTGAACAGTTCATAGTGAATGTTGGAAAAACCTAGTTTTTCTAATGCTGCATAGTAAACTTACAGCCCTATCTAACATCTAAAATTGAAACAACTCTTTGTCAATCTTATGATTGGTCTTACAAATGTGATAATTTCTGCTCCACTTTGCACAGCATGCATTCAGCTATTTTGCTATTAACCCTTCCTCCAAGCTTATATCTTTTCTCAACCTTGTGTACATAAAAGTTTGTGGTTTTTGAGCGCTTCTATTGTTAATTATTTTGTTTCTCCAAAGCAGTTTGTACTAAATTGATGTTTCTTTTTGTCTTAGCATAATTATACCATTTTGAGTGAAGTAGATATTCGCCAGCATCAAGAAGATGATATCATGAGGATATCTACTGTGCTCTCCATCTCAAAGGTTGAAGCAAGCATCCTTCTACGGTACTATAGTTGGTGAGTGATTTAAATTATGTTAATTGAAATCTCTTTCCTTCTGCTCCTTTTCAAATTTTGCTTAGTTTTTTTTTTTTACTTATTTACAAAATTATTTTTAATAGACTTTAACTGCATCTCTGTAAATGTAGAGTGAAATTAGCATTGTTTTTCTCTGTTTTGATGAATAAGGGTCTATTTTGTAATCTATTGGCAATGATATATTTGGCGGCTTGATGTTGTAAATGATTTATGTTCATTTTGGACTTACAGGAGCGTCAGCAAAGTACACGATGAATGGTTTGCAGATGAGGAGAAGGTTCGCAGGTCTGTTGGGTTATTGGAGAAGCCTGTAGTTCCATTTCTTGATGGTAGAGAAGTGAGTTGTGGAACACTCAACCGAGAGTTTTCACATTTTTTTAGCTAGAATTTCCTATGCTCGTTCGGTCTGTGCTCTTTTACACCTTATAACTTTTATATTTCTTTTTCTGGCAGATGATTTGTGGGATATGTTTCGATAACTATTCTTATGATAGGATTCATTCTGCTGCATGTGGTCATCCTTTCTGTAAATCTTGCTGGGCAGGTTTGTTTTGATCCAGCTATGCTTTATGTTTTTTGGTTTTTAGTTTTGATGTTGTTTCAAGAAGTTATAGGTCAGATTTTGGAAATCTTTTTTTGGTCTAAGCGATGGCTGAACATGCTCAGCTGGCTTTGAAGGGGTAAAGGGATAAATGATGTGCGAATAATTATTTATTTAAACTATTTATCCTGATTATATTGAATACTCCATATTTTGGAACTATTAATCAGCTTAATAGTGCCCTTTTACATGTAAAAACAATTTTTTGTAATTTATTATCCACATTGTACTTTAGCTGTATTTATTGTTAAGCTCAGTAGCTGGTCTGACAGTATTTTAGCCATTCTAGCTGTACTTTGTTTACCTTTCCATGGAACTGACCTTCATCTCAATGATTTTTCTGTCCGAGTTTATATGCAAAGCTATTTGAAGTTGTGTGTTTACTGACCTTTTCATATTTTCTTGTGAAATTTTCTTATACATACCCTTGTTTTCTTGCTTAGGTTATATTAGCACAGCCATCAATGATGGTCCTGGATGTTTGATGTTGCGGTGTCCTGATCCATCCTGTGCTGCTGCTGTTGGTCAAGATATGATTAGTGCATTGGCTTCTGAAGAAGACAGAGAGAAGTACTTCCATTATTTCATTAGATCTTATGTTGAAGACAATAGGAAGGTAATAATACTAATGATATGCGTATTCTGGCTTGTTTTATCCCAAAAAATATGCGTATTCTGGCTTGTAGGATTTAAATTTTTTAAATTTTCCTTAATGATTTTGAAGTTTACTATATACATTTGAATGACCGTCCAGCTCTGTTGGTAGAGCACAAGGTTCTTAACTTTGTAAAGAAAGAAAAAAAACTTGTTCAGAATAAATCGTGTTTATTTCTGCTGAATATGGCTGACTTAAATAGGGTTTACAATGTAACAACTTTACATAAAAAGATGCATAAAATTAGCAACATAATAAAAATGATTCTATTTAATTAAAAATGATCCTATCTAATAACTAATAGAATAAAAAACTGATTCTATCTAATTAAAAATGATCCTATCTAATAACTAATAGAATAAAAACTGATTCTATCTAATTAAAACTGATCCTATCTAATATTTAATTTAGATATTCTCGACACCCCCCCTCAAGCTGGAGAATAGATATCGATCATTCCCAGCTTGGACAGAAATCCTTCGAACATCGTAGTAAACAGTCCCTTGGTGAGAACATCGGCGAGCTGCTCTGATGATGGAACAAACGGTATGCAGATATCGCCATTTTCCAGCCTCTCCTTGATGAAATGTCAATCTATTTCGACATGTTTGGTCCTGTCATGCTGTACAGGATTCTGAGCAATACTGATTGCCGATTTGTTGTCGCAATACAACTTCATCGGTTTATCTCTTTCAACCTTCAGCTCCTCTAAGATCCTCCTAAGCCATAACAACTCACATACTCCTTGCGCCATGGCTCTGAACTCGGCCTCCGCACTGCTTCTAGAGACAACTGGTTGCTTCTTGCTCCTCCAAGTAACTAAGTTGCCCCAGACAAAGGAGCAATAATCGGTAGTAGATCTTCTGTCTGTAGAACTTCCGCCCCAATCAGCATCAGTGAAGATCTCCACTCTTCGACTTCCATTCTTCGAAAACATGATTCCTTTACCAGGACTCCCTTTCAAGTAATGAAGAATCCGGTAAACAGCTTTGGAGTGTTTTTCTGAGGGACAATGCATAAACTGACTAACCAAGCTCACAGCAAATGCAATATCTGGTCTCGTATGAGCCAAATAAATCAGTTTCCCCACCAGTTTCTGATACCGATTCTTGTCCACAGGCTCAGCACCATCTTCTTTTTCGAGTTTTTGATTCGGATCAATAGGAGTCGCCACTGGTTTACATCCGAGTAATCCGGTCTCTTTCAAGATATCGAGGACATATTTCCTTTGCGAGATAATTATACCTTTTGAGGATCTAGCCACCTCCATTCCAAGGAAATACTTGAGTTGTCCTAGATCCTTGACTTCAAACTGGTTGGATAAGAAGTTCTTCAACGACTCCAACTCTACTGTGTCATCTCCTGTCATAACAATGTCATCTACATACACAATTAAAATAGCAATTTTACCATTATTGTGTTTGTAGAACATAGTATGATCAGACTGGGCCTGAGTGTAACCATGTTGTTTCACAGCTCTCGTGAATCTCTCGAACCAGGCTCTCGGAGATTGTTTCAATCCATAAATGGATTTCTTTAGCTTGCAGACCCTGCCATCCTTCTTCAATTCATCAAAGCCTGGAGGAACTTCCATAAACACCTCTTCCTCTAGCTCACCGTTTAGGAACGCATTCTTCACATCAAACTGTCTGAGAGTCCAATCCAGATTGGCGGCTAGTGAGAGTAGGACACGTACGGTGTTTAGTTTGGCCACAGGTGCGAAGGTCTCCTCGTAGTCAAGGCTGTATGTCTGAGTGAAGCCTCGTGCTACGAGTCTTGCCTTGTATCTCTCGACCGAGCCATCTGCATGGTATTTGATGGTGAACACCCACTTGCTGCCTACAGATTGTTTCCCCTCAGGTAAAGGAGTTAGATCCCATGTGTCATTCTTCTTCAGGGCCTTTAACTCCTCAAAAACTGCCTCTCTCCATCTCGGAACTTCTAGAGCTTCATGTATCGACTTAATCCATAATCCTGGTGGAAAAAGCTTTGAAATCTGGAGAGAGTTTATTATAAGATAAGAAATTGGATATTGGATGTTTTGTGGTACATGATCTAACACCTTTGCGCAAGGCTATGGGTTCAAAGAATTCTGTAGAAGGCTCTAAATTTGGAGAAGAAATAGGAGAAAGAGAAGTCGTACCTTGGACCATAGTCGAGTCCGATGGTTGACATACCTTGGGGATCGGTGGAACATTACTTGGTCGAGTCATCCGTCTAGAATAAACACGAAGTTCAGTAGGTGGTTCCAAGTTGGTTTCTACCTGAGTCTCACGAGGTTGTGAATTTATAGGTTGTGAAATCCTAGGATTAGTTACGGAAATATGAATTGGTTCCACTGAGCTATTTACAACCAATTTTGGCAAGGATGTTTGTTCCCAAAAACTCATTTCAGAGTCATTCTCCCCCGGAAGAGAGTTTTTGTCAAAAAAAGGTTGTTTTTCAAAAAACGTGACATCCATACTCACATAATACTTCCCAAATTTAGGATCAAAGCATTTATACCCTTTTTGTGTTGGTGAAAAACCTAGAAATATGCATTTATGTGCTCGGGGATCGAGTTTTCCTCTATTTTGGCCGTGTATATGAACAAAAGCAATGCAACCAAAAATTTTAGGTGTTAAATCAGTGAAAGATCTATTTTCAGGAAACATATTCTTTAGAGCTTGCAAAGGAGTAATATAATTAAGAACTCTTGTAGGCATTCGATTTATCAAATAAGACGCTGTTAAGAGTGCTTCATTCCAAAAACGATTAGGAACATTCATAGCAAACAGTAAAGCCCTAGTCACCTCTAATAAATGCCTATTTTTCTTTCAGCAACTCCATTTTGTTGGGGAGTATCAACGCAAGAACTGTGATGAATAATTCCTTTTTGTTTCAAAAAATCACCTAAGATTGCATTAAAATATTCTCGACCATTATCGGTTCTAAGAACTTGAATATTTGCTTGAAACTGAGTATTGATCAGTGAGTGAAAATTTTTGAAAACACTTGCTGCCTCGGATTTTTGTTTTAGTAAATAAATCCACGTGACTCTAGTGTGATCATCAATGAATGTGATGAACCATCTAGATCCTGAGGCTGTTTTTACTCGTGAAGGGCCCCAAATATCACTATGCACAAGAGAAAAAGGTTTTGATGGCATATACTTTAAAGATGGATAAACAGATCTATGATGTTTTGCCAATTCACAAGCTTCACACTGAAAAGAAAAACCGTCCCTTTTTTTGAAAAGATTTGGAAACAAATATTTCAAATAATTAAAACTAGGATGGCCTAACCTATAATGCCACAACATTATTTCATTCTCACAAGACAAGGTAGTAAAGCATCTCGGTTTCTGAACTTGTTTATTTGAAGGATTGTCCGTGACCAAGTGATAAAGTCCATCAACCTCCTTAGCATTGCCAATCATCTTCCCCGAACAAGGGTCCTGAAATTCAAATCCAGTAAATGTTATTGTAGCAATGCATTTGCAATCATGAATAATACGATTAACAGAGATGAGATTGCAAGAGAGCTTTGGGACATGTAGGACATTTAGTAATGTGAGAGATGGAGAAATAATGATAGAGCCTTTTCCAGCTATAGAGGTTAGGGAGCCATCAGTAATTTTTACCTTCAGATTACCAGATAAAGGAAAATAAGATGAGAATATGGAGGAATTACCGGTCATGTGATCTGTTGCCCCTGAATCTATGATCCAAGGGTTTGATTTAGAACCGGCTATGAAAGCTGTAGGATATGTACCTTTCTAGGCTAATGATGAAGAGGCAATATAAGATGATGGGTTAGGAGTGTTGGATATGGAATGAGAACTCATTAGTTGATACAATTGCTCTAGCTGTTCTTTGCTGAAGGCAGACAGTTCTGAGGCAGGTTTCGGCTCTTCAGAAGCATCTTCAGATGAGGCATGGAATCCCTTTGCATTACGAGAATTTCGATTGGTTGAAAAATTCTCGGCTGGCTTCCCGTGTAGCTTCCAACACTTGGCTTTAGTGTGTCCCGGCTTGTTGCAGTGCTCGCAGATTGGCCGATCTCTGTCGTTCCGACGATCGTTGCGACGTGGTGGCTGACCCGAGAACAAGGCAGAAGACTCGGTGGGATTTGGTGAGTGGCCTCCAAGCATGACTGTCCGCCGGCTCTCCTCTCGTCTGACTTCGGAGAAGACTTCTCTTGTGCTTGGTAGTGGTTCACGACCAAGGATGCGCCCTCTGACTTCATCCAATTCCTTGTTAAGGCCGACAAGGAATTCGAAGACGCGTTCTTTTTCCACCATCTTCTGGAATAGAGCCCTGTCCTTAGCACAACTCCATTCATAGTCGCTGAACATGTCAACCTCTTGCCACAAGGTCTTGAGTTCAGTGTAGTATTGAGTGACAGTTTTTTTTCCTTGTTTTAGCCTCCATAATCGAGTTTTTAGTTCAAACCATTGTCCTGCGTTCCCAAGATCAGAATAGGTCTCGTTCACAGCATTCCAAATGTCATGAGCAGTAGGTAGGAAGAGATAAGTTCTCCCTACACTCGGATCCATGGAATTTATGAGCCAAGACATAATCATCGAGTTTTCTGCCTCCCATCTTTCAGATTCTTCATCTTCTTCGGCAGGTTTCGTAGTGATACCTGAGAGATAGCCGAATTTTCCACGGCCACGAATAAACAGTTTCACAGATTGTGACCACTGTAAGAAATTATTTCCATTCAACTTGTGAGAAGTGATGGATATGTTTTGGAAGGATTCAGTGTTTAGGGTGATTGAAGGTGAGCGAGTAGAACTCATAGAGTCGATACCAGAGGTATCATCGTAGAATTTGGCCATTTTGGCTCTGACACCATAAAGAAAGAAAAAAAACTTGTTCAGAATAAATCGTGTTTATTTCTGCTGAATATGGCTGACTTAAATAGAGTTTACAATGTAACAACTTTACATAAAAAGATGCATAAAATTAGCAACATAATAAAAATGATTCTATTTAATTAAAAATGATCCTATCTAATAACTAATAGAATAAAAAACTGATTCTATCTAATTAAAAATGATCCTATCTAATAACTAATAGAATAAAAACTGATTCTATCTAATTAAAACTGATCCTATCTAATATTTAATTTAGATATTCTCGACACTTTGTGGTCGTGGGATCGAGTCCCACGGAGATCATTTCATAATTCGGAGGTCTCCTACGGAAGCTGCTCTCAACCTGCCGTTGGGGGCAGCTTACTATCCTACCTCCCTCTTACCCCATTACATATGGGAATAAGGGTAAACTAATTTATATAATATATACATTTGAATTTTAAAAAATATAAAAATATGAATTTTAAGTAAACCTGTTTTCTATATTTTTTTATATGTTATTTTGTAGACATTTTTTTAATTACTGTGTTGTGTGTATTCAGTACCATAATCACTAAAAGAAATAGATGTATAACTTTTCATTAATCAATTTTCACCTCTTTGGTATTGTAACCCATTTTTCTAAATTATTTATGTGCTATTTTGTAGACCAAATGGTGTCCTGCACCAGGGTGTGATTATGCTGTGGAATTTATTTTGGGCAGTGGAAATTATGATGTTACATGTCGCTGCTCATATAGCTTTTGTTGGAATGTAAGATTTTTTTTCACATTCTTTCTCGTTATAGTTCCTTTAATGATTCACGCGTAAGAATTTCTGCTTGATTCTATTTCACTTTCAAAATTGCTAACATGAATTTTGACCCATAATGTGCATTTGACCTTGCAGTGTGCTGAGGAAGCTCACCGTCCTGTTGATTGTGGCACTGTAGGCAAGTGGATACTGAAAAATAGTGCAGAGTCTGAAAATATGAATTGGTAGGAATTAGTAACTAGATTTATTTCAATTCACGAGGTTGTTTAATTCATTCCATAATGTGAGGTTCTTAGTTTGTGTGGTATTGGCACACCTAAAAGAATAAATTTGCTTGCTTTCCCTTACTAAAAGTAAACAGTATGTGCGTTAGAGTGCTTTGTTATCTGAATATCACTTTTTCTGGAGAAAGCTTGTCTAGATTCAGTCCTTAATCATTTATGTTCTTTTCTTTGTACTCTTTTTGCTACATGTAGTTAAATAAGAATTCCCTTATACATGATATACATCTGCACCAATGACAATTTTATACTAATGCATCATTTAACTTTCTTCTGAATATGTTGAAATTTGAGGTGAACAAAGTGAATGTGTCTTAATCTTATATATAAAATGAAGTTCCATTTTCTTTTTCCCCTTCTGCCAATGGACCTGAAGGTGAATATTATAATGGTTCTGCAATGTTATATCATTCCATGCTATATTGTCATAATGGTCAGTTTCTCAATCATCGTGTCTGTTTTAATCATCAGGATATTGGCTAATTCCAAGCCTTGTCCAAAATGCAAGCGTCCAATTGAGAAGAACCAGGGGTGTATGCATATTACATGCACACCACCTTGTAAATTTGAATTTTGCTGGTGAGCTGCTACCTCTGCTTACATATGCGTTGCTTGTATTTTGATTAAACTTTGACATCCCAATTTTATTTGGGTTATTTTATTTTTATTGAAAAGCAAAATAAATAATAGCCCTATTTGTGTGTATTTTTTGTTATTGTTTGTTTAGCTTCATTGTCCACTGAACTAGAGGTAGAGTACTTTTCCTAAATGAAGGCTGAACCTAAGATTTCGTGTCAAAACAAAACGATCCTTTCTCTTTCTTGTTTCTCCACTTTATGAGAATTGCTATCAGTTGACCATATGTATATGTAGGCTTTGCCTTGGTGCATGGTCAGATCATGGTGAGAGAACTGGTGGGTTTTATGCCTGCAACCGTTATGAGACAGCAAAGCAAGATGGTGTGGTATGGAAAGTGTTCTTTCCTCTGGCATTCAGGATTTCTGGGGATTGTCATTAGTCATTTTGCGCCATTCTTTAACTTTACTCCTTGAGTTTCTGATCCATAGTATTTATTTCTAGTATGATGAGGCTGAGAAACGAAGAGAGATGGCTAAAAATTCTCTGGAGAGATATACTCATTATTATGAACGATGGGCAACAAACCAATCGGTATGTATTACTTGCAAGATTTATAGTAAAAATGAGATGATGCTTGTCACTGTGACTGTTTTCAAATCCTATTGACTGCTTAAGTTTATTTTCTGGTAACACTTTCTGGGTGATTATACACAATATACTTGAGTGAGAAAACACTTGCTGCTACTTCTAAATCTTTTCTTTACTTGATGCAGTCTAGGCAGAAGGCACTAGCAGATCTACAGCAAATGCAATCTGTGCATGTAAGCCAAATTTGTATAATTTTTGACCAACTATTAGTGATGCTGGTCAAGACGATTATTTTTACTACCATTTACATGAATGTGATGAAGATAGTTTTTGAAGGCTATCAAAAGCATTGAAGAATGTCTGATAATTTTGTGTCAATTGCAGCTTGAGAAGCTGAGTGACATACAATGCCAACCTGAGTCGCAGCTGAACTTCATCACTGAGGCATGGCTACAGGTGATTTCCAGAAATTTGTTTGGCTCACTAACTAAATGTTTCTTTAGCTCATCACTGCTACTTTAATTGTGCAGATAGTAGAATGTAGGAGAGTTCTCAAATGGACATATGCCTATGGATATTATTTACCCGAACATGAACATGCTAAACGACAGTTCTTTGAATACTTGCAAGGTGATGCTCGCAGTCTATGAGCTATGTGTAGGATAAATTGGACCTATGAGCTATGTGTAGGATAAATTGGACCATTCTTCAGAGTTTGTTCTTATATTTATTTATCTTAAGCTTATTTTATTTATGCTTACGGATGCCAAAAAAAAATCACATATCGTTCACTTTTCTTCACTTAAGTGAGTTTTTTTTAGCGCCTTTTGCCTCAGGCAATACATTTGTTATAGCAGCCAAACTGCCGCATTGTGCCCTTAACATGACTGGTTTGCACTAATGCTCTCTATTATCTTGCAGGTGAGGCTGAGTCTGGGTTAGAACGACTTCATCAATGTGCTGAGAAGGAGCTGCAGGTTTACCTCAATGCAGAGGGGCCGTCAGAAGATTTTAATGAGTTTCGGACAAAACTTGCTGGATTAACGAGGTAACTTTTTGCTTAAAATATGTTAACCACGTAGATTCCTTTTGAAATTCATGATGAAGTAGAATTTGATGATCTTATCATTATTGAAAAAATTCTGTTCAAAAGCTTTGCATGTGTGGAAAAATCTCTTATGTTAGAGAATTAGCAACCCTTCTTTTGTCTGAATTTAGTTATAAAACTTCGTGACCAGTGTGACACGGAATTACTTCGAGAATTTAGTTCGAGCTCTAGAAACTGGCCTATCAGATGTGGACTCCCGGGGAGCCTGCAGCAGGATGGGCAGCTCGAAGGGCATGGGAGGCGGTAGTAGTAGGGGAAGAAGTGGAAAGGGCAAAGGTTCAACCTCTAGACCCAGCTTCTCCAGCAGAAATATCGACGACTCTGGCCATTGGTCCTGCGAATATTGCACCTTCGCGAACATCAAGTCGGCCACCATTTGCCTAATGTGCCAGCAGCGTCGATAAATTTCATTGGCTATACCGGATCCAAGCCGGCCTTGCCTCTTGTTTCCATGGCATAGGGCTTTAGAGGATTGCCAAAGGGCAAGCAAAAAAAGGTTTTTCCACTTCTCTTTTCATCTCTTAAATCAAATTTGCCGTGATACAACGCCTGAGAAACTGATATCGAGCGAAGGGGTATGTTTATGTTATGCAAATTGTATATGGTCATACGTGTAGGTCCGAAAACCCTTCGACTTGCTTCCATTGGAGTCTTTCCAATATATTCCTGTGTTATTTTCTAGGGTTCAACTAGGATTTCAAGCGGACCGCAATGAAAATTCGATGATAGGCTGAGCTGTGACCATCTGCAGTGATAAATAATTTGTTGTAACCTTTCAAATTAGTGGGGGGTACTAAGTTTATTACGTGCTTGTATTGTTGCATGGATAATTTGGTCCGATGTCTTCATTAATACTTGTAGATCGGTTGTTGGTGGTGTCGAACGGTATAAATCGAGTGGCGTTTTCTTCGATCATCGACGGATGCTCTTTGTAATTATGTCTTACATGGTTTTCCAACACATTTTGCTGCGTTTTCAATAACATGCTGAAGTGAACATAAAAGATCCTCTATTTATTAAGATTGATTCTCTCTGCTTGTATGCTCAGGTATCTAGGATGATAATGATTTTTAGTAGGATGTGCAGTGCATACGTTAATTTTCAAGAGAGTTCAAATATAAAGTAAAGTACATAAATTATCTCTCGATTATAGGATAATATTTTATTAAATCTCTCGACTATTAAAAGTTATAAAATGATTTTTCGACTATAGAATGTTGTTTTGTTAAGTCATTTAACTATTAGGGGGTGTTTAGATGGGGAATGTGAAATTCCCATGGGAATTGAATTCACATTCTCCCGTTTGGTTAGTCCGAAAATTCCATTCTTGCTTATGTAAGATTATCAATAGTGTATTTTTTTTAGTATATTATCGAGAATGTCATTACCTCCTTTTCCTTATGTATTGTTGGATTACCAGCGTTTTGGACTAAAATGCTCTTAATATTTTTTAAATATTATTCTTCTGTCATTGAATAAAAAAAATTCTACGAAAGTTAAATTATAAATTTATCTTTAAACTATTTTAGATTTACAAAAAAAGGTTATAATTAAAATTTTATATGAAGTTCAGGGGTTAAAATAAAATTTTATCTTTTAATTAAACCTTTTTATATTTTTAATTTTGTAAAAAAATTATATAAATTTTATGAATTTAAATTTTTTAAGAAATTATATACATATTTTTCAACTTGTTAAAAAAATAAATATATAATAAGGACAATTTGATTAAATATACATTCCAATAATCTTTTATTCTTTTAACAAAAAATAGTAATCTTACATTTCTGCTAAGTTAACCAAACACAAAATACAACATTCTTAGTATTCATATTCCCTCATAATCTTACATTCCCAACGGTAATCTTACATTCCGTGAACCAAACACACCCTTAAAAGTTGTAGAATAGTTACTCAATTATTTATTATGTTTTAAACTCACTATTTTCTAGTAAAAAATGTACGTTGTCTAAACTGTACACTAACATGATAATTGAGATGTGATAATCGTTTAAGATTATGAGATTAGATTTTATCATATAATCGTCAGTAAGTTAACGTTTAGTTCATAATATCGTTAATTTTTTAATAGAAAATGACAAGTTTAGAACATAATGGATAGTCGAATGATTATTTTATAATTTTTGACGGCCGAGGGACTCAACAAAGTAATATTATATAGTTAGAGGATTATTTTGTAACTTTTAATAGTTAATGAACTTAATAAAATAATACTCTATAGTTGAAAACCATTTACGTACTTTACCCTTAAAAGTCTAACTTTCGTACTTAGAGCAAGCTGGGTAAATTTTAATCTCAATTACTCAATGAGTAATCACAACACTCGATAAAATATTAAGTTTAATAAATGTTTGAATAGTTTTTCATCCTTTCTTTCATGAAATCCACGTAATTGTGTTGTTGAATAGTTTGATAATGAACGTTCGATCAACTTGCTGCAGCCATTGGTACTTGCATTGATGACTTTTAAAAATAATAACTATTCTTTTTGTAACACCTAGACCTGATCTATGCGTTACGATCAGATCTAACAGATTACAATAGAATTTTTCAAAATAATTTCTGAACTTTAATAATCATAACTTCTTTAAAAACAAGGTTATAACAATAAAAACCAAATTGAGTGATGTAAAACATAAAATATCGCAGGTTAAATAAAATACCAATAACTAGTGTAAATATAATCTATACATCAGAGGTGGTAGAAAATACGTCATAAAACAATATATCGAAACATAGTCACATGTCACCAAAATAAACGTAGTTTGAAATATTAAAACATTACAACAAAATATATAATATACAGAACGTGTCGATCCTTCAAGTGTCTGATCTAGAAGCCTATCCAAAATATCTCGCGAAACGGGTCGGTCCAAAAAATCTACTGAGCACCAATCTTGCTACGATCAAAAGCAGTAAACGATTAAATAATCGCGGCTCACACGACCAGACGCATCGAGAGGAGCTGGATCTAGCAATCTAACATAGGGAGAATCATGGGTACCGTCGTCGATGATGTCAAAAATGGTGACGATAAGGTGATCCACTGGTCGGGTTTTGACCGGAACTGGACGAGGAGTCCAACGAAACTAGACTGAAATTTTTTATATATGGGTACTGAACCCGACCCGATAATATATATAGTTTAAATTATATTTTTATTTTAGGTTCCTTAATATTTGTACCTTAAAATTAAATTTAAATCTCTAATTTTTTCTTACATTTGTATTATGTACTTTTAATTTTTAAATTTTACAAAATATGAGATTCGAAAAAAATACGATCGATATTAATAACTTTAATTTTTTTTCTTTTGGAAATAAACTTTAATATATATATATATATATCTCCAAATATTTATCCTTAAAACTAGCTTCAAATCACTATTTTTTGTGTATGAATTGTGTATAATACACCTTTAAATTTTTATGTATTTTCTATGCGTTTTTTAAAAAAATATTAAATTAAAAAAATAGATGAACCAGATACCCGTGACCAAAAAATGCGGGTACTCAAATTTTACGGGTACCCATACTTAATGTGTCGGGTCACATGCTAACAAATATACTACCCGGAGAACTAGGTACCCGATTTTGAACACCCCTAAAAAAATACAAAGAGAAATAATCTATCAAGTTGCCATAGTGGTTAAGGGGAGTATTATTTTTTTTCCCAGAGGTTCTGGGTTTGAACAATTGTATTTGTAGGGTGTATGTGCGTTGTCAACAATTAAGAAAAATTCTAAACAGAAACTACTTTATAATCAGTCTAGACTATTAAAAAATACAATTAGGGATTTATATGTATAACAAAAAGGTCTAGGAATATACCAAACATAATTAGCAAGTTCAAACAACCATAAATCAAAATTATTCATAATTATTTTTTATGAGTTTAGAGTGATTACAAGATAATACTTGTTCGAAAGATTCAATAACTTGATAATGAGAGTTCAAACACCCACATACTACATGCTCAAACCTGAGACCTCTAGAGATAATAAATCATTCATTTAACCATTAAAATCGCTTGGGTAGTGCTATTTATAATCCTTTCAAATTTATAAACCAAGGACTAAATCGAGTTTAAGTGGGCCCAAACTCATTTGTTTCAAGTTGGACAAATGGGCCATGCCAATTAATTAATGGAGTCATTGGGCCTAATGTTACACAACTCTTTACTTAAGTTAGGGCAAATCATCCTTTGCTAATCATAACAAGAATGGTCTAATAAACCCATTCTTTCTTCATCAAACCATTCACCTAATCCCAAACTTTATGGGATCATAAGAGTTTAGGTTGAAGTTCTATCATAAGTATATTATGTGTAAATTTTGTTTAAATTTATTATAGTTTAAATTTCGTTGCGAATGAACCGTACAAGTGAAGAGAAGAAAAGAAAATGAATAAAATTTGAATGATAAAATGATATTCGTAAACTCAACAAACTCTAATTTTTTACTTATCGAATACTCCCACTATGCACACCCTAAACTTAAGTAAGGTTTCAAGTTCAAGTATTGTCTATAACAAAGAGAAATTTACTCATGTTTAGGAGCTCGACTCTAATCGAATCCACTATGAATATAATTGAAATCTATAAAACACTAATAAAAAACTAATATTTTAACTAGTTTATTATATGGTAGGTTGATACATTATTTTGGTCAATTATAGATGAATGTGGTTGACGAACTTGACAAGTAAACAAACCAACAGAAGAGCTATGCTAAGCAGAAGACAACAGTTTGAAACATCAGAGAGAGAGAAGGGGTTAATAATAAGGGTAAAATATATAAATGATCTCCAACTATAAAGCATTGCTTTATTGATACATTATTTTGGTCAATTATAGATGAATGTGGTTTACAAAGTTGACAAGTGAACAAACGAAAAGAAGAGCTATGCTAAGCAGAAGGCAACAGTTGAAACAACAGAGACATAAATGTTCCCCTGGAATATAGGGAGTTATTTTGTTAAGTCCATTAACTATTAAAATTTATAAAATGATCCTCCAACATATGGTGTTGCCTTATTGAGTCTTTGTTGAAACTTACAAGAAACCCTTAGAACTTTATCAAGAAACTTATCAAAGATGACTATTAACCAAGATATGCAGTGCATTTTTATATTACCTTATATTTACCTCAAATTAATTAAAAAAATTCGAAGACTCAAAACAACATCATATAATCAGATAATTATTTTAGAACACTTAGTATTTAGGAGCAACGTTATATAGTTGGAGGACTATTTGTATATTTTACCTATTTGTATATTTTACCCTAATAATAAACAGGGAGTGGGCAAAGCATTGAATGGAAAAGCATCATTTCAAAAGTACGTAATGATTACCATGCATGCAATGCAAAGGCAGTTTTTCTCTCTTCTCCATTATCAATGAATGAAAATATTGCTTTGGGTTTAGAGATGGGAAAATGGCAAACGCAAGTGAGCCTTAAATGCTTTCCTTTTTCTTCTTCTTTTTTTTTTTATGAATTTTTTATGACATTTTCCTCTGCAAAATGTGAAGCTTAAATTCCCACACCAACCCTCCCTTTTGTCCTCTTTGTCTTATTCACTTTCTTCTGTTTTCTATACCTAACCTGCCTCTCACTTTTAATGCTCATGTATATCCTAGGGATCACAATTGGTCGGGTTATGGTAAGGGACGGATGCATGATTTTATGTTAGGAAGGACGAATTTAAACTTATAAAATTTTCAGGATGAACTTGAATTTATAAAATTTTAGGGAGTGAAAACATATTTTCAATAGAAAATACATATAAAATATCTTAAAATTTATGGTAATTTTAGATTTTCCATCCCTGGTTACGGTCAATTTGATTCAAAAAATATGTATCCTCCAATCGAACTCGACCTGATTCGAAAAATATATATCTTTCATCCGACATCGACTCGACCCGGATTTTTTGAAGTATAAATCCAACCCGATCTGACCTAGTATGAAATAAAGACTTAATTAAAAATAATAATTATTTTTGTGG